GCCCCCCCCCCCCCCCCGCCCGCGCGCCGTCGCTCTAAGCGCCGCGCGGCGCGACCCGGGTCCGCGGGGCGGGGGGAGCGGCCTACCCGTACTCCGCGAGGAGCTCCTCGCCGGCCTCGACGTCGGCGACGAGGCGCCAGCTGAGCTGCGGCCCGTGGCGGAGGTCGCGCGACACGAACCAGGCCACGTTCGGCCGCCGCGGCGGGTCGCAGAGGCTCGCGGAATTTTGGAAGAACGTCAGCGAGCAGTGGCGCAGCGCCGGCTCCCGTATCATCGCGTAGTTCAGTTCGTCTTGCCGAACGCGACGTAGTCGTACGCGCCGAGGTGCGCGCGCGCGTAGTCCGAGGGCCGCTCCACGACGACCGCCGTCGGATCCACGAGCACGTCGCCCGCGCGCAGGCGCCGCCGCGCGACGACGCCGAAACCGCGCGCGTCGACGACGCCCGCGGCCGCGACCTCCGCGGCGGCGTCGAGCGCCGTCCGCTGGGCCGCCCAGCGCGCCGCGCGCGCGTCGTCGGGCTCGGACCCGCGCAGCAGCTTGTCGTACGCGGCGTCGAGCGCGAGCACCGCGCCCCGCGGCAGCGGCGGCGGCGGCGGCGCGGGGCCGCGTTCCGCGTCGGCGGCGATGCAGCCCCGGCAGCCGCTCGGCCGCCAGCGGCACTTGCCGCAGCCGTGGAAGGCCGGCCGCCGCGAGCCGACCTCGTCCCGGGGCCGCCAGCGCGAGCCCGAGGGCCAGATCGGCGCGGGCGTTTCGACGGGCGCCTTCTTCGGGCGGCCGCGCTTCTTCGCCGCCGGGGGCGCCGCCGCGGCGCGCTTCCTTGGGGGCGCCGCGGCGCGCGCGGCCGGCGCCGGCGCGGCGCGCTTCTTCCTCGGTGGCGCCGCGGCGCGCGCGGCCGGCGGCGCGGCGCGCTTCTTCGCCTGCTTGCGCGCGCGGGATGCCTCGGGAGGAGCCGCGGCCGGAACCGCCGGCGTCCGGCGCGCGCGCCGGCCTCCGCCCGCGTCGAGCGCCCGGAGCTCCGCCGCGGGAACATCCT